CAGGTGACAAAAGAGGGGAAAGAAACACCTTGGTCGTCCTCCATATACTGAGGTGGCCGGAGAGTTTCTTTGATATCCATTAGGGATCTTTGCATACATCCTCATCTCCTTAACGACCAGGATTTCTTACAAGGGCGTGCATGTCAGGAAGGCAGGAATGCTGGTGCCGGCCTGAAGAGAACCCCAGAAGTGTCTCTCACAAGGAGTGAGCTCACCCAGGAAGCCACCTGCAGAGCCAGGCAGGAGCTGTGGGACAGGGCGGCGTGTCAGTCACTACTGAAAGAGAAACAGGACATCGCAGAAGCAGAGGGAGGCCCTCACCAGACCCTTGAGAAATGCCACACCTTCCCTGTCAGCTGCCTGAGAGGCTGTTGGAGCTTCGTTTCTAGATGGCCCCTGATTGTAGGGCCAGGGTCACTTTGGAATCTGTGCCTCCACTCAAACAGAGAATGACCCAGCAGAGCAGCAGCACAGTGCTTTGGGAACGTGTGAGCCCAGCAGTCTTTGAGTCTTGGCCCACAAATGTCATATGGAAAGTTGAAACCCATCTTCTCCTGCTTTCTGTGCAGGTGCTTCCAGAGGGAGAGCAGGAGCAGACTGCTTCATCAGAGATGCCATGCCAGACTCAGGGAGAGCCGTTCACAGCCCGAGAGTAGGAAGGGCAGCTCAGGCAGCAGGTGGAAGAGGCACAGGAGAATGGCCAGGTAAGCCTGACTGGCCAGGTGACAGAAGAAAGGGCAGGAAGAGGGGCATAAACCAGAGCTCTTGGGACTGAGGAGGCCAGGAATCCCACAGGCACTGGAAGCACAGAGCCTTGGAATCTGCAGAGATCAGCCCTGGGACAGGAGGGTTACATTGGAAGCAGATGTGGGGAGGGAAGCAGAAAGAAGTGGCTGCATAAATGTGATTTTGAGGCTGCAAGAGGAAAAAGCTGAGCCTGATGGCAGCTCCCAGTCACTTGCTCTGCATTTGTGTGCACAGAACATCAAGGCAGAGCCACAAGCAGAGCTGCCCCAAGCTCAGAGTGCCATCATGACAGTGAAGAGGAGGAACAAGGAAGACATGGGAAGAATTCAAGAGGAGAATCTCCATCAGCAGAGGAGCGATCAACAAAACCAGGTGAGTGAAAGAGTGGCAGCCACTCCACTCATGAAATGCCCTCTCCCTTCTTGTTTACAGTCTATCAAGGGACACGTGCAGGCAGAGCTGCAGGACTCTGAGGCTACCAACAAGGCAAGAGAGAAGAGGCTGGAGGAAGAAATGAAAAGCGTCAGAGAGAAACATAATTGCCTCCCTCAGGCTATAGAAGACCAAGTGAGTAAAAGAGGGATGCAGTGTCACTGCAGTCACCAAACTGGTGGTTTCTGCCCTTCTTGCCTTTGACACTGCAGAGCAGCAGGGAGTGGGGCCATGCCTCTGAGTGCCATCCTGCTGTAGTGGGTACCACAGTCACTCTGAAGGACATTTCCTGTTGTGCGGAGTCTTAACTGCTGCCCTGGACAATGAAACTTTCCTTTGGCCTTTTGGCCAGCAGTCATCCAAATTGATTCCTGCTGGCCTGTTCCTGCTCTCCCCTTCTTTCTTGAGGTGTTTTTACAGTAGAACGTGGTGATCCAGATGGAAGACTGAAACAAGCTGTCAGCTGCATCCCCTGTCAATCTGTTCTCTGCCTTTCCTCACAGTCAATGACTCCTGGCTGACAGGGACAAGCTGTAGTGTCTGACTGCTTTGTTCTGTTTCATTTGAGGTGCAAGTGCTGACATCTCACCAGGCAGCCTGTGAAGACTTCCAGCGAATATCTGGCAATGAAGGACCCCAAGTCAGGAGTGAGGCACAGGAACAGTGTCCACCAGAAGTGCTCCAGGTCCAGCACATCATGGGCTCTGAACCTGCTGTTGCAGCAGCATCACCTCGAGGAAGCTCTTCTCTCAAACCAGGGAACTCGAGCTCGGGCAGTTCCTTAAACTCTCCAAAACAGCAGACCGAGGAGAAGTACCTGGAGATGCTGGGTACGTCTGGGGTGTTGCTTGTCTGAGGGACAGTGTGTTGTGTGCAGGTGTCAGCAGAGCTGTACCAAATGCTCCTCCTGAGTTGAGTGTCACAGGGCCATTTCGGACTCCCCAGAGGAAGTGCTGGCATTGCTCCGAGGCAGCGAGAGAGCGCTCTGGGTGTTCCTGCTGCCTCTGAGGGCACCTTGGACTGGCTTGGGTTTGCCTGAGCTTCCCTCTCTGCTAAAGGCTGAAGCAGGGATTGTTCTTGGATCAGCAGAAGCCTGTGACTTTGCAAATGATCTAGGCGAGTCCTGTGTGCTCATGGCCAAACTGCACAGAATTTTCAGCTTCCTAAATTCTCCTCAGACTCCTGACTTCCAACCAGTCATCAGAGCAAAACAACTTCACAGAAATGGACTGGCTTTGGGGTTTTGTCTTTTTGGTTGGGGATTTTTTATTGTTCTTTTTTTTTATTTGTTTTTGTTTTAGTTGTTTTTCTTGTGGGTATTTGGTTTTGGTTTTCTTTTTGCCTTTTTTTTTTCCTTTGTGCAGTTTTCTTGGTGGAGTTTGTTTTTCTCCATCCTGAAGGAGCTCTTCTGCCCCACATGTCTTGCTGATGTAATTTATGTGACTGTTACAGTTACCACTACTACATCTGCAGTTTATTTTTATGAGAATGCTATCTTTTTGTCAATAAGAGAATGCTATCTTTTTGTCGGTAATAACTACTTTGAAAGAACATCAGGTTACAGGACAAATAGAGAGCACGTGGTGTTTTCCATGTGCCCCCAAAGAAAGAAAAAAGCTATTTTTTAATCTAGTTTTATGCTTATCAAGATGTGTCCAAGAGACACATCCAAGTGGCATGATCAGATAAAACTGTACTGCAGGAACTTCTCAGGAGAGAGCCTCCAGCCCAGCCATGGTAAATTCCTCAGATCCATGGCACTTTTCCATACCTGATTCCCACTCTTTCCCATGACTGTTAGAATCCTAGCCATTGGCCCAAGCCCTGCTCAGATCAGTCTCTAGGAAAACACATCAAGCCCTTTGTGATTCTGCAGCACAACCCAATGAATCTGCCTCTTGCCCGTAACAGCTGCCAGTGCTGTGCTCTCAGATAAGACCTGGTGGGGCTGAGACCAGAGCCCAGGGGATTCTGTGTCTACCATCACCTGTTGGGACAAAAAGGGCACTGATCCGCACCTTGGTGTGGCTGATCTCAAGGCCCATCCTCTTGTGTCCTGAATGAGGGCAACAGCTTGTACAGGGCTCAGGCTGGCTGTGGCTTCTTCCCACTGCTTGTCAGTGCTCATGCTTGGGCTTTGCCAGCCTTTTTGTGCTAGCTGCCCTGTCCCTGAGGGCTGGAGGGGACTGCAGAGGCTGGAGCCTTCCCTAGCTGGGAGAGGGGCATCTTGGAGCTCAGCCTGCTCATAAAGAGGTCAGGGTCCTGATGCTGAAAGCCACTTTTGGGCTTGGTTGCAGCATGAGGTGCTCTGGTTTACAAATGGAAAGGCATTCTTTTGGCAAACTGCTGAAAGGTGGGGAAGATGTCCTTCTCTCCTGGGATTGCATCTCCCCGTGCTTTTTTTCCTGTCAAGAGAACTCTTCAAAGGACCGTACAAAATCAGTCTCTGTGCCAGCCATCTGGGCACTGCAATGTATCCATGCATGTTCATCTCCACACCTTTGTTTCCTTTCTTCAGCTACCTTGTGAGTGAGGAACTCTGGCTGGTTATGGAGTACATGGATGGAGGCGCTCTGAGTCATGTCATCTACAAGACCTGCCTGTCTGAACATCACATTGCAGCCATCAGTCGGGAGGTCAGCAATCCCATCTGTGTTTCCAAGGGCTTGGGCAGGATTGTCCAGGAAACAGGGGCTCAGATCAGGAGTGATTTCATGTGCCAAGCTTGGTTTCTATGTTGCTGGTATGCTATGGGCAAGTAAAAGCATCTCAAGTGAAAGGCCTGCCAGTGCCCCTGCACTCCCTGTACTCAGTGCCAGTACTCTTCTCTCCTGCTGTTGTACTCTCGCTCTGTCTCTTGTATTTGCTGTTCTCCATCTTGCTTCCCTAAACTTTTGCCTGTCTTCACTGCATCCCTTTCCGGTGAAAGCAAAGGTGCTGGTGGCAGGATTTGAAACAAACAGCAAAGAAAAAAAAGAGAGACTCGTTTCTCTCAGTCCTCAGCTAAAAAGGACAGGAGTGCAGCCAAAATGCTCTTTGCTTCTGAGCAATGTCCACTGCAGCAGCAGTCATCCTGGCTGGTTTGCAGGGGACAAAGAGCAGGTGCTGTTGCTCTTTCAAAAGCTGACATGCCTTTCCTCAGAAAGGTCCTGCTCTGCAAGTGTTGGAGCAGCAAACTCGTCCTCACAGTGGCACTGTGTTCTGACATTACTGCCCATTCCCCTGCAGAGGGAATCTTTTAGATTCTTTGTTGCCTTTCTTGTGTGCTGAAATCACAACACTTTTTGCCCTCCTCTTTCTGTTTTCTCTCTCAGTGCCTGCAAGGACTGCATTTTCTTCACTCAAACCATGTGATCCATCGAGATGTGAAGAGCGACAACATCCTTCTCAGAACCAACGGTTCTGTCAAGCTGAGTCAGTATATTCTTGGTCAGGTGCAGCATTCCAGGGATGTGGGTGTGGGGCTGCTTGGAGTGACAGCCAGCTCCCGAAAAATGGTGCTGGTGGCAGTGCAGGGACACCCGCTGTGAGCTGAGGGCACAGTTGCAACGTGCACAGAGGCAGGACAAGGAACAAGCAGTCAAGAGTGGCCTTGCTCTCTGTGTGCCCCTTCCAGAGGGAGGGAGCTACAAGTCTAAAGACTGCAAAGAACAAAAGCCACTGCTGGAGGCAGTGTAAAAAATGGGGATTTTTAAAGTCGCCAATGCCAGCAAACTTCTACTGGGGAATTCTTTTGCCTGCTTTCCTAATTGCACAGAATTCAAACAAAACCAATATTTTGCTTTCTCCTCAGCTGATTTTGGCCTCTCTACTCAGCTCACCCCTGAGCAGAGCAGACCGTGCTTGGTAGCTGGGACTCCGTGGTGGATGGCACCTGAAGTGGTCACAGGTCAACCATATGGCCCCAAAGTGGACATATGGTCTTTTGGAATTGTGGGGATTGAAATGGTAGAAAAAGAACCTCCTTACTGGGACCAAAGTCATACCTCGGTAAGGGGCAAATACTCACTGATCCCACTGTCTTTCTTATCTGTCCCTTGTCCTGCATGCCATTGGACAAAATCCCATGGCCATCTGCTGGAACTACTTCTACCAAGGTCCCCTCCTAAAAATGTGCCTGCAGCACATCAGCATCTGCTGTCAATTTGGATACATCAGTGGGGGAACTCAAGCCTTACACATGCAAACAAACTCCATTCTCAGGCAACACTTTCCTTTGGGTTATAAGTGATTCCAGTTCTTTTGTCTGTGGAGATGGCCCCAGTAACAGGAAACAAGCGTCTTGGAACTGCTTGTATCTTTCCAGAAATGAAGGAAGGAAACCCAAACCCAACAAAGTTTCTAAAACTTTCAAAAACTTTCAAAAGCTGTGGTCTTTAGAAAGGAACTTAACCCACTGTGCAGTTTCTTCTCACTTTGGAAACATGCCTGAAACCTTGGCATGAGAGTGTAAAGGCCACAGAGTCTCTTCTGCTTCTTCTGCAGTGCTGCTGAAACACTCAGCGACCGTGTTTCTCTCCTAGCCAAAGGCACATTCTCTGTGTCACCAAGCCAGAGCCTGGTGATGTGGAGAGCCTGCCATTTGTTTCCTGGCACTTTCTGGGATGGGCCTACCATTAATGTATTGACTTGAGTAGCCAAATGAGCAGAGGGTGACCACAGGCATGGCACCTCTCCTTCTTCTGACCATGACAGTTTTTCTTTTGCTGCAAAATGGGAAGCTGCAATTTTCAGACTGCTGAGAGACAGAGCTGCAGGTGGCTCCTTTTTGCCTAAGCAGGCATTTTCATCCCAATACATTTGTGCAGGCATCTTAATGTGTCTGTGTTGAAGATGAGATTGTAAATATTTGTTTCCTTACCTGGGGATTAACTGATGGATTTCCTTACTTTCCTTCCAATTCTCATTGTTTTCAAGAACAGCACAAAAAGCTTGATGAGTTTTGTTCTATGGCACGTGCGCTTAAAGCACCAACAAGCACTGCAGAGGTGCCTTTCATGTACTAACCCTTGGAATGAGTTTCTATAGCACAGTCCCTTTTCCAAAAAGCCTCTCAAGCCGGTTTGAATTCTCAGAGAAGCAAATGTGCTTTTGCTGATGTAGCTCCCACTAACTAGGTCAGTCAATGAAATCAGCCGCCAAGGCAAGATCTGCGGGATGGTGGAAAAGCTGTGGCTGCATCGGGGTTTGGGTTTCTGGTTGGTAAAGGAAAATTATCTCTGGGTCTCTGCCAGGGCAGAAACTACCACTGAAGAACAGAGGGTAAACAAAAGGATGTGGGAGAGCCTTGGAAACGTGAAAGCAGCAGGTGGAGCCTCATGTTTGTTTTTTTCTCCAGGCTCAACGCCTGATAGCCACAGAAGGGACCCCACAGTTGCAGCAGCCCAACCAATTCTCGACTTGCCTGCATGACTTCCTGAGCTGCTGCCTGCAGAGAGACGAGGAGCAGCGCTGGTCTGCCAAGGAGCTCCTGCAGGTAAAATGTGAAGGGGCTGCAGGTGAAACAGGCTCTGAGGGGTGGGCTCCTCCTCCACTCAAGTCCAAGGATCAGATGAGCGCCCTTCCTCCTCACCTCCACTCTTGGAGCTCTTCAAATGAAAACACTGAGGAATCCTAGACTGGGCTGGGCTGGCAGGGCCCTGTAAAGGTCCTCTGGTGCAAGTGTCCTGCAATGAGAAGGGACATCTTTAAAGAGATCAGGTTGCTCAGAGCCCTTTGCCACCTGACCCAGAATGGCTCCAGGGACGGGGCACCTACAAGCTCTTGGGGCAACCTGTGCCAGGGCGGCACCATGCTCCGAGTAAACAAGTTCTGGTTAGATCCTAATGGTATTTAAAAATATTCACCCACATCCTGTTGTAACTGGCCCTGTTAAAAAAGATGTCTCCCACTTTGTTCAACGCCACTCTGAGGTCTTGGAAAGTGGCAATGAAGTCTGCTGGGGCCTGTTCTTCACAAAACTGAATAACTCCACCTCTCTCCACATTTCCTGAGAGGACAGGTGCTCTGTCCTCTGACTGTTTCTGTTGCCCTCTTTTTCAATTTGGTTGGGTGTTCTGTTTTATCTAATGGCAAAATAACTGAAGTAGAGCAATGCAGGGTACAGACACATGAAATGGTGGTGCAGGAACCCAAGGAAGCCAGTCCCAGCTGAGCAGTCAAAGATTTGGCTGTGGGCAGGAGGGGCTGTGGGGGACTCATTGTGAGCTTCTGAGGGGCCCTGGTTTGTGCCCCCCAGCCCACCCTTAGAGGTTTCTGCCATGCAAACAGGGACAGCTGGGAGGGACTTGTCCCAACCCCATCTGCTGCCTGGCACGCTCAGGCAGACGGGAACTGTGCCAGGGTTACTGCCAGGTTGTGTGGCAGAGAGGGAACTGCAGGACCCAGTGCCACTGCGCTGGCCCTGCTGGGAAGGAAGGTGCCGTCCAGCACACGAGGGGCAGGGCATGGAAGGGTAGACACTGCTCTGTCTCCCTGTGGAAATAAAAGCCTGTCTTGCAAAGGCAAGGACCTATGTGAGTCATTGGAGTTTCCTGAAAGGAAGAAACCCCAGGGACAGAAAGCACCATTTCTAGAGCACTGGCAGGGCAAAAATCCCAGCAAGATATCACAATGAACACATGAGTGGGATTCTGGGCCACATTTGCCTGTGATGGCAAGGTCCTGCACATGACAACTGGGGAACAGATGGTCCCATCGTTCTACTTTCTGGGTCTTCCTAGGAACTAGAGGAATCCTCGTTGAGCCTGTGAAGCACTGAGCTTGCAAAGTCATGGTTCACTGTTCTTTGTTTTTTTTGGGTTTTTTTCCCGGTGGACAGCATCCATTTGTAACAACAGCCAAGCCAGCATCCATCCTGGCACCACTCACCAACTCAGTTCAGAAGAAGTAGGAGACAAGAACATATCATGTCAAGATATTATCTCCATAGCCAATTTTGAGTAGAATTGTAGAGTAGGATTCTAGAGTAGGATTGTTGAAGAGTTTTATAGGATTATAGATTAGGATTAATTAAATAATTAAAGAAAGTTTCTGAAATATCAACTGATTTGGAAGATTATTTGGAAGACCCCATTCTAACCCTTTCAGAAAACTCAACATTTCTTCCTGAATTACCAATTATTTTTTTTTACTGGTGCCAAGACACATTTATGGCTTCTTCTGAATGGTTCAAAAGTGAAGAAGGCTCTTCTTCATTCATCCTCCCAAGAGCACACTGCCTTTGGAATACCACCCACTGGCTGGTTTTGGCACAGCTGTGGTATTTCTAGTTGAGGCAGAAAAGGCAGTGGCATTTGCAGGAAAAATCAAAGGAGGAATGGGCAGCCCAAACATCCTGTGTGCATTCAGGCCTGCAGCTGTGACTCAAGAGCATTTGGGTTCCTGCCACTTGGATTTAGATCCCTAAATGCAATCTCTTTGGCTGGAGGCGAGACAGAAACCCAACATGACATGTCATAGCCCAATTTCTGTCACTGCCTGCAGGAAAAGGCTACGTCCTGCAGGACTCCAGCACTCAGCATCCTCAGGCAGACACACCAAGTGCTGGCAATTTAGAAACTTGATCCTCTGCCTTGTACTAAAAGACAGCACCTCCCACAACCGGCACTAATAGGTACAGAGTATTGTGGTGTGACCCCTCCATGGAGCTGGTGGACTCACCATCCCTGCAAGCCTTTGAAAGAAGACTCGATGTGGCACTCGGTGCCGTGCTTTAGTTGAGGTGTTAGGGCATGGGTTGGACTCCATCATCTTAAAAGCATCTGTCTTCCAAGCAAATGATTCTGTGATTCTGTCACTGAGGGAGCTTTCCCTGCAGCCCTGGAAAGGGCTGTGGGGGCCCTTGGCCAAGGACGGGGATCAGGGCTCAAAGAAAAGGAGCAAAGGGCTCAAGGCGAAGGCCGAGAGGGCAGAGTTGCCACAGCGCGGCCCTGAGCCAGCCTCATGTCCCCCTCCTCAAGCTGCGCCCTCTGCGCTGCTCTTTGCGGCGCCGCCGGCTCCTCTCGCTGCGGGGCTCCAGGGCGTGCTGGGGGCCGGGCCCCTCATCTTCGGGAAGCGCCGGAGCCTCGGAGGCGAGCGGCTGCTGCTGTGGCCGGCAGGGGAGAGCTGCGGCCGCGGCTCCAGGCACAGCGAGCTGCCGCTGCGGCCGGCTCCTGCCGCGGCTCCTGCCTCTGCTCCGGCCTCTGCTCCTGTCCTGTGCGCACAGACACGGCCGAGGGCTGCCCGGCAGCTCCGTGCCGCTCCGCAGCGGGCCCGGCTGGGCTGCTGCCCTCTGCGGCCTCTGCCCGCTGCTGCCGGCCCCACCGCGCTCCCGCCTGCCTCTGCCGCAGCCGGGCCCACACGGGGGGCAGCACATTGCAGCCGGTTCGGAAAAGCCCTGCCCGCAGAGCGCCCGCCACAGCCTCGGCCTCAGGGCACAGGCTGCCGGCGTCCTCGCAGCTGCGAGCCGGCCCGGGCCGCCTGCCGGCCTCGGCCACAGCTCCCGCCCGTGTCTCCATGGCTGCGGCTGCTCGGCACAGCGGGCTGAGCACAGCCAGTGCCAGCAGCAGCTACTCATGGGCCCAGGCTCCGGGTGCTCCGAACCCGCCCAACCCCGAATTCCAGCCCTGAGAGGCTTGGCGTCCCCCTGGGGACAGCAGAGTCGGCTGCTGAGCTCAGCCCATGGTGACACCACCAAGTGACCAATGGAAAATTCACCAAATCCTCATCAGAGACAAGAGAAAACTCCCATGGTGCCTGACAGCCTGAAGCAACTGCCAATTACAGATCATTCCATCCATGTGGGAAAGAAACCCTTTGCATTAAAGCAGAAAAGAGTTATCTAAAAGGAGATCAGGAACAAAGTTATTTGGACTCATACTTCTTTTGTCTGTT